AAAAAAAAAAAAAAAAAACATTAAATGAAATGGAAGGGATTTTTTCCTTAAATAAAATTTAGAACTTTTTTGAAATACATATTGCACAAAATTGTTAGCTAGAGAAGCATCGATATGCCAGAAGGACATGTGGCACACGCTTAACTATCTCTGGGAAAGAAGAAAGATAGTAATTTTATCTTTTTACATTTTCCCTAAGAGAGAAGGCCTGTTGTTACTGGAACTTCTACCTACCGCTTTGGCATGGGAATTTATAGAATCAACCTCCAGAAAATAACACAACTATGTTGAAAGGAATAGCATTTTACAAAGTGATTTTATTTTCCCAAACTAAACAAGTTTTCTTATTACTGTGTCACATAAGGGTTTTTTTTCTGGCAACTGGCTAGTAGGGGGATCCAAGCTCTTGACCTTGATGTCACCAACATGACCCTCTAACCAACTGAACTAACCAGACAGCCCTCAGATTTTTTTTAATGTCCATAAGTTAGTGGCTAGTTTTTAATTTAGATTTTCATCACATAGCCACTACTCAGAAAGGCTCACCCTGTCCATGATTTCAAAATTTTCTTCTGTGAAGGTCTAAAGAGCAGCTCCTAACACTTAAGCCCAGACAGATATATATAAAATCACAAAAGAAGGCGAAGAATAGACTCAGTAAACTTCCATTGAGAGCTTCCGATGTGACAGCTTGTCAAGTTGACAAGCTGACACACCAGCTTCAGAGATAGTTTGGTATGTTGATGATATCTGTGCCCTGTTTCAAGCCAGGAACTCTAGACCAACAGCCGTCTATTACCAAAGGCATCACCAAGTGTAAGTGGAAAATGGTGCTTTTGTATTTGGAATTTAAACCTGCATATCTTGTTTATCAATGTGGTCAGTTAATTGCCTCTTCTCAAAATATACCTTGCTCTACCTGTGACAACTTTGGGGTTAGAAATTCCAATATGATTAGTGTCTTTCAGGCAATGGTAATTCCAATATGGTTAGTATCTTTTGGATCCTATACATTGATCTTAATAATTGGAAGAAGTGGGAAAATCATTCAGATGGATTCTTTTTTAGGTTTTGATAGTCATCTTACAAGTCTGGCTTCTTTCATTCTCTGTCAAGTCCATCAAGGAGGCAAATTAGAGGGAGGTGGTTCTGACAGACCCTAGGCAGACCTACACCCCTGCAGTCATTTTGCTAGAGAAGCTCCGATGTGTGCACCCCCCTCCATGTGCTGGTGCTTAACCAAGGTGACTGTTTCCAATTAAAATCAGACCATGGATTTTTTTTAAAAACATCAATAGAAAAGATTCTATTTTCAACTGAATAAATAAGAAATCTGACAATATATAAAAACCCTATTTCAGTGGAATTGACCTTGTGACATTTAGTAGTGCCGCAGGCTTGTTGACATTGAGGAGCATGTTCACAAAGAGGCGCACCAGGCTATTTTTCCACTTGTTAAATTTTTGGAATGTTTCTCATTATATTCAGCCTAGTTCTTGGGTCCACAGGTCAGCTTGGGCTGTTTTAATCTGACTTTGCTAGACTTTCAAGGGTAGATTTTCTTTTTCCAATGTTAAAAATAAAGAGAAGGTTCTAGAGGAAACAGGGCTGATTATGTAGTCCCATCTCAGTTAATTCTGTTTGTGTATGACTGAAGTAATTTATCAGTAAGGACCCTTTTGAATGCATGTAAGTAACAAAAATCCAACTCAGCGTGGCTTAAGTGGAAAGGGACATGTATCAGAATCATTCCACTGCAGAATCCAGGGGGTCCTGGTTCCAGCTGCTCTATGCCACCGTGCTCTCTGGCTCTCCCAGTTGTGGCTGCTCTCTGTGGCACGGCTGCTCTCCTCTGGGTTGGTTCTTTTCCCAGACAGGCTTTCTCTACATGTGGGGAGTTTCATACTCAAATCCTGTTCAACTTGAACCTACAAGTGAGAGAGCTTATCATCCCAAGAGTTCCCCCTGAAAATGTCCCAGTATTGAGTCCCATCAGTTCAGATCAACCTGGTTTTGATCTCTTGTCTGTCTCTGGGCTAATCACAAAGGCACGCGTGTGCGTGTGTGCATGTGCGTGCATGCGTGCATGTGTGTGTGTGTGTGAGAGGGAGAGAGAGAGAGAGAGAAGCCAGGCAGAGGTCACATGTCTTGGAGGGGGTAGGCTTAGCTCCACCTGAACCCTGTAGACTGAGGGGTAGGTAGTAGCTCCTCCCATGGACAGGCAGGGAGCTGTTACCAGAAGTGGGGTTGGTTTCTAAGCAGGCAGAAATAGCAATAGCGGGCACCTGAATAAGCCCACTTTTACTTTCGGATTCTGAGAGTGTCTAATGGAAAATTGTTACATCACATGGGTATTGATTTCCTTTTTTCATACTTAATTTGATGAGCTGTTTTGGAATGCCAGATTTGAAGTAGTGAGATTAGGGTTAAGAATCCCGTCTCTGATATTTGTTACCTCTGACCTTGGACGAGCCTATTAGCTACTCGAGAGCCTTAGTTTTCTTTTCTTAAAGTGAGAGTAATGCCCACTTCACATCATTGTTGTGAGGCACAAATAATGTAGTATTTGTCAAAGTATTTTTTACACTATGAAGCTGTACATTTGGGTTGTTTTAGAAATTATTATTATTTTTTGGAGATACCTTCAAGTTTTCTGCTACACTGTTTTTTCAACTGCCACTGGGAATAAATGCATTTTAAAGTAAAGATCATAGTATTTAGCTATATTTTATAAAACTATTTCTATTTTCCAACTTGTAAGCCCAAACAAATACCTCTCCACTGATATGGAAACAGTAGTTCTTATAAATACAGACACTTCCCAGAGGTTCTTATACACGATGTAACCTAGTTGGCATTGGAGCACTTTGGAAAAGGATTTATGGATGATATCCATACTTAAATACTTTGAAAATGTAAAATATCTTTATGAGTTAGTATATTTCAAAATATTTAATTATATTTTATTCAAAAAGATTTGCTTTCTCTTTTAGTAACGTGTATGTAGGGGTAAGGCCTGACTCTTCCTCAGTCATTTTTTATTCCCCTATAATTAAGCACTCCATAAATACTGTTGACCAAATTACATAAGGTTATAGGCACCATAAAACCACAGGGCTCTCGGACATGACAGACTGGACATCAATTGGGATGGTCTCAATTAAACCTTGTTTTCCATATTTTTCACAAGGGTAAAATGGGGAAATAAGGAGGTCTCAGTAAATACCACTGAATGAATGGCTTTGTCTAATACCTCTTTTTTACCAGAAGCAAGAAACGAATGTTGAGCATATAGTCAATAGATGGGTTTAAGTCAAGAAAATGACAGCCTCAGTTTGCAAGAACAGAGCATAACATATATTTTCACGAGATGTTACAGGCAAAGAAAAACATACTTTGCAAAATCTAGTTTCTTTGTAGCAATTCATGTTATGATAAAAAGGCTGATTGCCGCTTTTCTGAATGAGTTATTAATATTTCTGCTTTTTAGTCATCCTGAAAAATGTT